TCATGATTATGATTATTTATATCAGATGATGACATCTCAATTTCGTAATCATGAGGGTGATCATCATGATCTTCCGGAGGCATATTGACAGCACCGGGAGGATAGCTTTAGCTATCCTTGCCTGATAAGGTTGAAACCTTTTATGGGGAGACTTGTCGGAAAACTCAATGATTACAGAGTCGGAAAGGGGAGATGATGGTGAAGATGGGAAATAGGGAGAAGATAGGGTGGGAGAGCGGTGGACTTTAGGTGAGATAAGTTAGAAAATACTTATTTGGCGGTGAAAGGAAGTTCGGAGAGTTGATTTGGATGGGATGAAAAAGTGGTCGATTTTTTGTGGTTGAAGTTCTGGCCACTGCCTTCATTTTTATTGGTTAGGCATGGATTTAAGTAGGTTGCGGGCTATATTTTAGGACAAACGATAGCATAGATAGTACGATAATGAACCGGTGAGTCGTGAGTCGGCGTGAGGGCTGTTTACAGAGGTGACTCACGACTCGTTTACGGCCTCTGAAAACTGGGAGATCAAGCCGACCGTTAAAATGATTCTACTGATTGCAATTTGTACAAAATATGTTGTCATTTGCTCAAATACTCAAAGAGTAAGAATAAAAAAAAAATAAGCAACAAAAACAGAAGTTGATTGAGAAGCAGTCCATGATGTCAAACACAAAAGCAAGATTGAGAGTAGAAACGTTAGCATAAAGCAAATGAGAAGGAAAGCAGGGTGTAATCTATTCAAGAAAGCAAATGTTCATCATTTTTGTTGGTGAGTAAGATTTACATTGAAATCAATGACTTATTTTGAGCAGTTTCAAGTACTTATTGAATATTTGCTAAAAATCAATCTGCGTATGATTGATGACAAAAAAATCAAAGATAGTTGAGGAAATGGATAGTGGGAATTACTAGTCCAAAACATTTGGTGAAAGATCTTTTGATAATAAAAAATAAATGAGAGACAAACCTTTGCCAACAACACTAACAATCCCAGCTTTCTTAAATAATTCATAGCAACCAGGCTTGATGTGACAAATCCAAACGACCACATGTCAATCGATGTACTCTTGCAGGATTTCTTTCAAGACCTGTAAAGCTGAGACATCGATTTTATCGACATCTCCCAGATGAAATGAAACCACTCTGGTATCCTCTCCTTCTCGCTTGGCCGAAGGATGACTTTTTGTATCCTACTGAAAGATAACACACTGGTAAAAGAAGGGTCAAAAGATGATCTTAAAAGGTATGGGGATTTGATATCCGGATGTACGCACACATTTCTAATCGCCGCAATCTTCCTTTCAAGCCACCTACAATCGCAGAACTGAGTGACTCTGATTTCGACAATGATGAGTGCGTCAGGACTTTCTTCTTCAATTTCTCTGGCAACCTCTTCACTTTTAGTCTTCTTGGTATCGATCGGCTCCCAGGTGCGAGTGATTAGATCACGACCTAAAATTCTGAATCTCATCACAGTAGCATCTTTGATTGTTAGAAGCAAGCTGACCACAACAGAAATCAAGATACCCGTTTTGATAACACATACCAAGGTTAACAAAAACCTTGTCAAAGAATCAGAATTCAATTTGACCATCAATTTTTCATCAATCATCGTAGATTGTATTTTTTTAATCCATAAAAATGTCAAGATTAAATGGTCTGCGTAATCGGAAATTTGGTTGAGATTGACTTACGGTTATTAGAGCTAGGTGAGGATGTACAACCTCCCATGTTCTAAAAGTACATAAAGCCCTCCGGAAGTTCCGCGAATAAATTGAAGACCCCCAAGGAGATCACGACTGCCGAGACACATTTTGGTAAAAAGAACAGATAATCCAGCGGCGACGATAATCGTCAAACCGGTGATGATCGCAGCCATGGAGTTTGAGCACCAGCGGTTGCGTTTAACCTACTCCTCGTGATTGTGCAATATGCTAATGTGGGACAAAGATATGTAACAATCGGAAAGTCAATTTTCAAAAGTCAACCCTATAAGAAGTGGAAAAGAGGGGCAATTTTTATCAGGCATATTTCCCATCACGAAGTATGTGGCTATGTTTGCTGCTCCTGTGATTTTTGTTAGAATCCGAGGTACGATCTTTTTATGACAAGAACAATATGTTAGATGACGACTCCGACAACTCTTAGTTTGACCACTCAACACACCTTTTTATGACAAGAACAATATGTTAGATGACGACTCCGACGACTCTTAGTTTGACCACTCAACACACCTGCGGTAATGCAGAATTTATATTTTTATTTATTTTTAATGTTAATGATGGATGGAGGACACGCGCCAGTTTGTAATCAGTCTCTTCTCCACTTTTTAATTGAATAAGCATGTAGTTTATTATCTGAGCATGAGTGAGAAAAATGATGAAGAAAAATAGAAAACAGTTTTTATATGTATAGCAAACCTTTTTATGACAAGAACAATATGTTAGATGACGACTCCGACGACTCTTAGTTTGACCACTCAACACACCTAAATGAAAGAAATAAATAGAAAGATAAAGAACAGTTAGAAAAAGAAATTTAACAGTTAAACGCTTATGAGTTAGATAAAATGAGAAAACAATCATACCTGCGGTAATGCAGAATTTATATTTATATTTATTTTTAATGTTAATGATGGATGGAGGACACGCGCGAGTTTGTAATCTGAGACAAAAATAATGAAAAGAGAGAAAGAGATAAGAGGAAAAATTTCAGTTTGATTTTATATTGGGAAGTTGAAAGATTTGTGTTTGAGATTTGCTTACCAGTCTCTTCTCCACTTTTTAATCGAATAAGCGTGTGGGGAAAAGACTGGTATCGGGGCAGTTGGAAAAGTTTTTATTGGGTTGGGGGGAATGGTGTGTTAGGTTTGTTTTCGTGACATTCAGATGAGAGTGAGAATTGACATTCTTGCTGCGTATTCATAATGAGATGTTGCGGCGAATGATTCAACAGCTCCCAGAGCCACAAGTTCTCTGTTGGCACTGATACGTAGAGTAGTGGACTCTGGCAGCTCACCCTTTGCTGCAACGATTGAATCGACAAGACCGCAGAAGCCCTTTGACGAGTTTTTTGGAGACACCTCTGCTTGGAATCTTGAGGTAGCATTGAGCAATATGAAAGGAATGTGAGAAAGTACAAAAATAACGTCAAAGGATTTGAAATTTGATGTTCCTCGTGTTGTAACCCCTTTTTGGGGTCACCATCTGCTCACTAGACACCCGGACACGAGACATAGTTTGATGTTTCTTATTCCTCATTCGAAACTATCATCTCATGCCTCAACACCTCGGGCCTCTTGGAATCTTGACAAGGCAGTCGAGCTCAATTACTCACAATGAGAATGCCCATCTAGCCACCATCAAGTTGACTCCATTTCATCAACCAACATGCAACCACCCACTTCAGGCAAGCCTGTTAGAAGATCTCAAGATCAGCAAGGCCGACTTGTTTTTGCCGGGTGCTGAGACTTCTCCGATTGTGTCAATCGAAGCTCAAGTCGTGGACGCTGTGAGGGTCATCATAACCCGCTTGCCAAAATCATTGGTACATTCACCTCCCCCAACACCACCTCAACCCATTTATTTCAGTGGTCACGGCTTAACGGTTTCTGCCTGGGAAAGTCTTGTTAAGCTCCACTGTAAGTTTACATCCACATCCTTGTCAGCTTGCAGAGCTGTGCTGTGCTGATTTTGGCTTGGATTTTCCTACAGGCCCTGAGCTTCTCACTTTGATGTGTCCATCGCTCTTTAAAATTCCAGGATTGACCGATCACGACTACATACGCAGATGCTACACGGAGTGCCCAAGACAACTCCTACAGGCCATAGAAATCTAGTCAAAGCTTGCAAAACACTTTGAGAAACCTCCTCCAAAACATCAACTCAAGTTTTTTCAGGGCATCTGCTTTGCACTGGTAGCCAGTTACCCACCGCATGAATATGATCTTGGTCAAATCCCCAAATGGGAATGTGAATCTTTTAACTCGCTTCTTTCTCGGGTCAATTTGATATTCAAAGCAATTCAACACGTCAAGTGCACCCAAAGAGGAATGGACGATCAACCTAAACTAGGATCGCTCGCAAGCTTCTTGACTTCGGGCACAGTCGGAGTGATGCTGGGTCCAGAAAAGGAGAAGGCAGTCTCACCTACCGCCATAGCGATGTTACTTAATCATTGCCACACTTGGTACATGGATAGTACGTCTTGATATTGCCAGCTACATGCTTACGAATGATGGAGAACTGACTTACCCTAATGAACCTCGTTAGATCCTGCTATCCCAAACTGGTCGCTTTGGACAAATGCCGATAATCTGATCTGCACTCGGCTTCAATTGGCTCTTGACTCGCCCAACTTAGTGACAGTGAAACAAGAAGAGCTGGCCATGTCTCTTGCCAAAGACTTTGTGTATTCTTGGGTGAAAAAAAACAATTATGAATTGCCCTGGATTTTGCAAAGAGGCAAAAAAGTGCCCTACGTACCCCTCGAGCATGATTACCACCCACTTCTAGAGCAGTCCATACCATTGTAATTCATTCTTGAGTTTGTCTCACTCATACTGATTGCCAAGAAAATAACTCACATCATTCTGCCAATCAATTTACCAAAGCAAGCGAGGATGATTTATTAGCTCCTGCTAAAGGGTAAGGTTGGTATGAAGGACCCTAACCCTAAGCAAATTTGCAAGCTTTCACCAATGTGGTGAACTATCCTGCATCAGAAAAGCAATTCCAATTTGGAAAAAAAAATGCGGTGATGAGTGATGGCTTGTGGACAAAGCAAGTAGCAAATGTGTCCTTCCGTCAACGGTGAAACGATGCGATGTGATGCGATAAATAGCCATGTATCGGTATTGCATCGAAAAAGCGATGCATTGCATCAAAAAAGCGATGCATTGCATCGAAAAAGCGATGCATTGCATCAGCATCGTATCGGAAAGCGATGCAAACCGATGCCACCAAATTATGGTGCATCGCATTGCATCGCTTTGCCGATGCGATACTGATACACTGTATCGAAGAATCCGATGCAAGCGATGCAATGCGGGGCCCAGCATTGCTCTTGCGATGCGATGCGATAAAGGCCCGATACGATGCGATACCTATGCATGCATCACATCAGTTTCATCGTTGCTTCCGTAAAACAAATTGAAAATATGCAAGTTAGAAATTCTTTTGGCTGTATCTTGTATGAATTATGTTTGAAAAGCTCACCACCTAGCTTTACACAAGTCCCCCCCCCCCTTGGTGGGAGGCTCACTGTGTAGCACTAGTGATCCCCAGGTTCTGCCTAACTTTTTTTTGTTGAATTTTAGAGCTTCTGATGCGCAATGGATGAGGATCTTGAGAATAGGGCGCAAAAAAGTAGAAGGCCTTTTTTGGGAAAGGTTCACAGAAAAGAATGTAAAGAACCAATGATGTTCATTCACATGTAGCTATCCTGATTAAATAGACCAAATACATGTACTCAAACTGTGGTTGAAATAAATTGAATAAAAAACAAAGAATTGAATAAACACTAAGAGATAGATTATTTTGTGGTCTTCAAAGAAACAATCATAGCAGGACTTCTCAGTCTCTTTTAGTCAGGAAAGAAAAGTTAATCAAGAAAAGTCAGACATTCTAGCACAAATATTCAGAGGCGTTAATTCTGAATAATTAGTTTTTAGGAATTCAATAGTGAAAATAGAAAAATAGAGGAATCAATCATAAAGACAGGAGTTGTTGGTAAAATTGCTATTGATAGTTCTAATTAGACTACAAAAAGTGCATGAGATTCAACACAAAACCAGCAGTGAAAGAATACAATTCAGTCTAAATCAAGATGATACATGAAAAAAGAAAAGGAGAAAAATAAAGGGAAAAAAAGAGTTTTTTTTGGTGGGGAGTAGACCGCAGGAGTGAAAAACTCAAAAGTTTTACAAATCTCAAGAATGCTCCCTTAATTTTGGGTGATTCATTATCATTCTTCATTTATGGTGTTCAAAGTTGAGTATGCTGTGCATATTTCATAAGCAATCAAATGTTTTTTGCTGGGAAACCTCAAGATTACGTAATAAGATTTTCAAGTTTCTCTGCAAACAAGATTTGCTGATTTGTGAAGTAATGTATGCATGCATAATTGTTGCATATTTAACTCTGAACACAAGAATTGATTTTAATAATCTTTCACAGATTCAGACAGAAGTGAAATTTTAAAAAATGATTCATCAGGAGCCATGCATGGAAGGATTCACAAAGGTAAATTATTTTCAAATACATGAGTCTGAAAGCTCATTTTATGGTGTCTTGAGACTGCCTTTGAGTGTAGATTTACAAAGATGGCTAGGAAATCCATGCAAAGCATACAAATACTTTAGAAATGGATTTGCCAAATACAATCCATAGTTTGAAATCTTATTCAATGAAATCAATCAGAAAATTTGAATAATTTTATCATCTCAAGATAAAAGATGCCCATGGGCGCTAAAGTTGTGCAATGTGAGTTGCTACAAGACTGTCCATTCATTTTTTATTCAATACAAGAAAACCTAGAAAAACTGCTGGCAGTTGACATCCAAAGACTTTGCTGATCCTTTTTCTTCAACTCAAATCTTACTGAGTGCTTACTTTGGTCAAACTTTGATGCACAGTAACTGTGCAGAAGGCATTCCTCTGGGATACCCAGTGGTTTTCAACAAAGTTGATACTGGAGTATCCTGCGTGTCAACTGATACCTGTTACCTACAATTTTCTTGCAGTGAATATTGGTGTTGTCATTTTTAAAAAATGGCTCATGTTTCTTTTTTGCTGAAAATGCCTTCTAATCCTTCCAAATTTGAGCAATAATACAAAAGCAGTTCTGTTGAGGAGTATAGAGGGTGGAGGTGAGTTGTTGAATGCCACACGTTTCAAAGGGTGCCTTGAATATATTTTCACAGAATTCACCGTTATTGTCCAAAACTGCCAATTTTGATCAGTGTCCAGAAAAAGTCTCAGCCTGGCTGAAGAAGATCTGAAAGAAGTGAAAGGTATCAGACTTACACTACATGGGGTAGATAAAACAAAACTTTGTGAATCCATAACTAATCTTACGGAAATAGTGATTCCCCCCCCCCCTGGATGCTGGTGTTATTGGTCCACAAAGGTCCATATGTACAAAATCAAGTGCAGTATTGAAGGTAGTAAATGTGCCTCCAAAGGTTTGTTGGTGCATTTTGGAACAACCATAGACGCCACAGTCTAGGTACATATTGTATGGCAATGTCTGGGAAAGCTTTATTGAGATAAGGAAGACTTGGATGTCCAATATCTTGAAGTAGATTGATGGGGTCCATCTGTCAAATAGAGAGTGCTTTGAGAAGATTCATATTGATGAGGAGGATGTTTTCCTTGGTGTGCCCCATGAATAAGATGCTGAAGCCTTTATGACATTTGAAGGGGGTTGTTGGCTGCAAGAATAAGTGAGTAACCCAGATGGATGTAGTGATTCAGGGACAGAAGGGAATTGGATAGATGTGGAGTGTAGTACACAAGGCTTAATTGAGGAGGTCCAAGAGCTGTATGAATGGTGGCTGGTCCAAATCCAAGAATGGGGATGATGTCCAATCTCCAGCTGTTGAAATTTTCCTTATCAATTTTTTCTGTCACTAGTTTGACATTTGCAATGTCGTGATGGAGGTCCATGCTGAGTGGGTTAGTATTTTGGTGACAGCTGGGGTCAGCAGGTATTGGATATGGGTGTTGGTGTCTGCGGAGATGGATTGGAAAGAGGTGGTGCTAGATGCTAGAGGAGCATTGATTGGGGAGTGGGGGGCTGGCAGGGACAGAGTTGGATGATTTACCTGCCATGTTGAGTGATAATGAAAGGAAAGAGGCTTTAAGGATGTCCCATAATCAATAGTTACAGGTTGATGACTGACAAGAGGGAGAGAGATAAACAATGAGGAAGAAAGAAAGAGATGACTATGCACCTGGTCAAGTGTAAAAGAGAGGATGACCAAGATGAGTGAAGAAGAAAGGAAAAGAGGAATAAAGAAAAGTGTACAATGACAGAGAATATATACAAGCTTCTAAACCTAATTGGATGATAGAGTAGGTTTCCCCCTTCTTTCCATCTGTTCTGCCTTGCGGAAGTTACCCCTTTCTGGCCTTATTGTCACACCCTCTTCACATGGAAATTTGTGACTCCAGCTGGTATGGAGTTTGCCAAGCATGATACATCCTTGTTCATTTGGCATAGACCAAAGTGAGGACATATCCTGCTTGGCAAGCTCGGCCAATAAGTACTCCACAGCATGATGAGCAGGATACACCCTTGGTGAGCTGACACCACGGCTTGAACCAGCTCTCATAAATGATAAGAGGCATCTTACTCACTGAGGGCCAGTACCAGCCCTATGAAGAGGTTTCCTGATCTGCGAGGAAAACATCTTACCATGCATATTGATATTGGTATCACTTGCTGGCCTAGCGGGCACTCCAGGAGAATTATCCCTCCCCAGCAAGCTACTACCCAAGCCAAAAATTAATGCCCCGCTCCCAGGAAGGCTTGAACACTTGACCTGGACTGTTGATGGACTTTCTATTATAGTCGACTCTCCTCTGGCAAGCCAGATTGTTGGACGTAGACGAATCCATCAGGGCGCTTACCGATTGCGCTACGGGACCGCTGACTCCATTGGTGAGGCATGGATTTAAGTAGGTTGCGGGCTATATTTTAGGACAAAAGATAGATGATACCAGCTCCCGGCCTATATTCCAGGACGCAAGTAGATAGTACGATAATGTACCGGTGAGCCGTGAGTCGACGTGAAACCTATTTACAGAGGAGGTGTTCAGAAGGCAATGCATAGACCAACAGCTTGTTTCTTTTTTAACAGAAACCAACACCGAAAGAAAAAATAGGATGAATTTATTCGAAGTCAGACTACAGCTAGTCTCGATCCTAGGGAAACTAAGCTCATCTCAAGACTCAATCCAATCGACCATCTGGTTCTCGCTCACACAGAAAGATAAATACGGCGAAGATTTATGGGATTGTTTGATGGAAGAAGCTGAGAAGGAGTGCATGTAAGACTCACAATATCGAGATCTTGCAAGAAAACTTAGAAGAAAATTGAGATTTGAATGGAAGATTGACTGTTGTTTTGTTTTTGTTTTCAGGTGAATGTGAATGCTCAGATTAGGATATTACTTGACTCAATCGATGGGCTCCTCTTGAGATTGTCGACCGCGCTATTAAAGAGCCACCAAGACTACCAATACCACAAGCGCGAACAAAATAGGCGGATGTTTTGGGGACGGATGGGCGTGTCAATCAGCCAAAGTCTTGTACCTCCTTCAGCAGCAGGCTTGAATTTATATGGACACCTGATCAAGAAAGATATCATCAAATTCGTCGAGACCGTCGTGCCCACTACCTTCAATAAAAAGGGCCTCCTCAATCTTACGAGTACTCTCCAAGTAATCAAGAATTGGAAACCTCAGGTCTCGCTAATCGAGCAGTTCTTGAAACTCGTCCTACTTGAACAAACCGATCTCCTCTTGAACGATCGTTAACAAGTGTGTAGTTTATTTATTCCCTTCTCTTTCCTTCTTTGCAATAAATGCTTCTCACCACTGATCCTGCTATGATTTCCTTTCTGTCATGGACGTTCGGCAAGCCTTGTTGGTCAACAACTCTTTTCTTCATATCTGTATTGTGCAATCCCCTTTCTATTTTTTCCTTACTTAATTCGGGCTTATAATAAGCTATTGAAAGAACCATGCGGATTCATTATATATCTCTGTGTTGTAATAACGAGTCTGTTCCAAAGACGATGAAAAACCTCTGCCCCCCTCTACATGTGTTCTAGGTCAATTATCTGGTAAACTAAGGTAAATAAGCGCTCACTTTCAAAAAAAATAGTATTGTTGAGACTATGTGATGGGTTTATTGATAATTGAAGGTCTGGCCAAGGAAGAAGGATCCTTTTGAATCTTTGATCGAGCAACAAGGAGGAGTTTCAGAGTAATCTGAGGATCGGGTGACCCGGGGTTATTCAGGCCCGTGGGCTGGGGCCCGTTTTGGCCCTGTGCGCTTTGATTCAAACCAGCTGCTGGCTGTCGAGACCGGAGTTCTGCCTAACCTCAGATCTTTGAGACCGCACCATTAAAAAATTGTAGTTTGATTCCATTGAAGAACATTTCGATCGCTCCAAACATCCTTCCATCAGGCATTCCATGCGTTCTGAATAACTCATACCGTCACTGCTTGTGGCTATGGCGTATGTTTAACATGCTAATCTTATAATCGGTTGAGAAGGTCAGATTTTCTTTTTGTAACTCTTTCCTCTCTTCTACAATCATTCAGGGTTGAAGATGCCAATAAAAATTGTATGATGAAATTTTTTATACCTTTAAATCCCAAGCATGCCGAGTGTGGGTCGGGGGCGGGGTCGTCCCCCGCTCTTCGGGTAACCCTCGCCGGCGTAGACCACCTTGAGGAGGGTGGAGACGTCGGGGAGAGCTGAAGAGGGAGGAAGGCCCCTGCATACAACAAACAAAAAGGTTCCTCGCCTTACGGGCGAGGGTGTACAAATTCAGACCCATAACTCAGGGAAACCTGAGCCGGAGATTGGACGCCTTATGTTTGCCGAGACCCGACCGGGAGTGGAGATGGGAAAAAGGGGGGCTTTCTTTACGGGAGTTTGGTGGAGGAGGAAGCTTGCCAGGATAGGTCCAGATCGCTCATCAGGGAGAGCGAGTCAGAGACTTCAGCAGGGGAGTAAGGCCGGATATAGAGCTTGTAACAATCGGAGACCCATCGTCCGAGGGAACAAATCTCGTTAATGGGGACTCCCAAAGCATTCCTGAGGGAGGCTCCTCCCACTCGGAAAGAATGGCCTGAGATACCCGAGAAATTGCCTTGAGCCCACGCCGTAGCAAGTGTCCGGGTAACCACGTACTTCGTGAGGTGGACCCGCGAGTTTGCGTGGTCGAAATATCCGTAAAGGGAGGTTTCTATCCCCTTAGCGTCTGCGAGGCGTCTTTTGACTGCTTCTACTGGACAGAGCAAGTTGTCCAGGGGGTTCAAGTGGATGTGTTGAACCTCCCCGGGTTTCGCTGTTTTCGCGCTTCGGAGGACTAATCGGGCTTTCTTCCCGTTCTTGGAATCTTCGAAGATCACGTCCGTCGTGAGTAATGACGAGTAAGGATCTATCGTCCCTGACGGCGATTGGTACGTTAGTTCTCCTAGCCTAGCCATGCCCCAGAAGGCTGAAATGGCAAGGTCAAGGATGGCACGTTCTTTTGGGCCTCCTTTGAGAAGGACCCTCGTGAGGTGGACCATGTGCTTCAGGTGGATCGCCTCTTTCTTCGGTTTTGCCGATATGGTGGCGTCTACCCGAGCCGAGGAACGCAGCAGGATCTTGACTCTTCTTTCTACGCCAATGGGGTAGACCGCTTTGTGGTATAGATGCCACACCTGTATCCCATGGAGGTATTTGCTGAGGGTGCTGGCTGCAATCTCGTGTCCGGTTGACTTGTCTTCGTCCCGGCCTGCCCAGAAACAGAATTTGTATATGGAATCTTCTTCGGCTGGGAGCGTGAAAGATGCTATCCCTTTTGAGGACATGAATTTTACGAACTTCTTGACCGCGGTGTTGAATCCTAGTAAGGAGTTCCACTTATAACCCCTCAAGAAATGTAGGTCTTGAGGAGTGACTTCTCTCTCGGAGGAGCCGTTTTTCGTGAGTGCTGCTAACTTCTCGATTTGGATCATTGGGGGGGGGTAGAGTCGGTCTTTTTGATGGAGTGGTGCGGATTCTTTAGGCACAGTAGGGAGATAAGGAAGGGCAGTGCGGATCTGTGTCCCACCTCACTTTTTCTTTTTTTTTTTTTTTTTTTTTTGAAACGTGTAGAAATCATTGCATAATATGGAAATGGAAACATGACTTAGATGAATAGGGGGGTTAAAACAAGACTTGAAACAACAGGTTCTCTAAATCAAGGGGCATGACTACAGGGACTATGTGTCTTGCATCATGACCATCTCTCTCCCCTCTGGACAGGCCATCTGCCACATTTCCTTCTGAGTTCACTCTGCGTGGTTCTAGATCAGCTTGGAGTTTAACTAGTAAATCCTGGATGATTTTCCATTCTTCGTTTACGGCGTGATCCTTAGATTTCCTTTTCCGAATGGCGTTCTCGGTTGTGGTGTTATCGGTCCAGACGATAAAAGTCTTGCCTTGTTTGATTCCCAGGGATTCTAGCATCAGGAGTCCCAGCCTTATTGCAACTGTTTCGAGCCAAGCTATTCCTCCTGCGTGGCGCCTTCTTTGTAGCCATTCTTCCGCTAACTGAAATTGGGCCCATTGGTGTCCGATGAGGATGCCAATTCCGAATCCGGTCGACGCATCACCCACCCACCCGATTTCTGTTGGCGCGGGGTTGGGCATCAAGCGTGTTGGCTTGAAGGTCAGGAGAGTGTGCATCCACCGTTCTAAGTCACTTCTCACGTCGTCCGGGAGTTCGCGGAGGGCAGTCTTTACAACCCAACTCTTCATCCACCTGTAGAAACTACAGAGGTAGCAGCGTAGCTGCGGGAGCATGTAAGATACGTGGTTCAGTCTACCGGTCATGATCTCCACGTCGTTGTATGAGAAGTTCGCTTTAGAGGCAAATGCCTTCAGTTGGTTGATCCGGTCGATCAATTTATTGTTCGGAAGTCTTACAGTTTTGTCGATTCCGTTCCAAATGAAACCAATGTATTTTTGTTTGGTTGCGAAGGGAGAAAATTTTTCATCGTTTGTCTTGACTCCTAGTTCATTAGATCTAGCGACAATGTCTTCCATTCGAGTCTGAGAGTCGATGTTCTTGACAAACAGATTATCGTCAACCCAACGGAAAATTGTTATTAGGTCGAACTCGTGCAGCATTATTTGTTTCCATGCATCAGCTGGTCGGCCAAAGGAGCCACAGCCTGCGACTCCGCCAAATGTTATCCTTGTATCAAGTAGGAGTTTGTCGTCGAAAGTTTTGATGAACAGGAAGGGCCACTGGTCCATTGCTGTCGGGATTTGCCTATAGGCCTTTTCCCAATCGAAAATCGCGAAGGAGACCGGGTGAGGGATGTTACGAATAAAGCTCGAAACGACATTGAAATCGTCCCACGTTGTGGGGAAATCGTTCGGGTCTACGAACGAGTTGACCGATGGGATTTGAGGGTTACCGTGTGGGAATGACAAGTTGTTCGTCGGCCTCAAGGACCCGTCTCCGTTGATCACAGCACCGAGGGGGTTGGATCGAAAGAAGGAAAATTTTTCTTGGACTTGGTCGTGTGTGAACGGACCAAACATCCTTCCTGCAAGGATTTCCTTTTGAAGTTTTTCTTCGATTTTATCTTTTGCCTCCCAAGCAGAAGCGTGGTTGGGGGGTGTGAAGTAAGGGAGTGTCTCGCCTAGCGAGTGTGGCGGGATGCCTTGAGGGAACCCGTTACGGAAACCCGTGATGACATCGTCGAATTCCGGCAGGAGTCCGGCTTTGTCAAGAGCCAAGTGCCACGCCGGTATGTCCATCTCACATTTCACCGCCGAAGGCCAGATTTGGCTATTTCCTTCAATACTGGGTACTAAACTGGGGGGTATGACATCTTCTACTAAAGATATAGGATCGCTTCCGCCGTGTTCTGACACGGGGGTATCACATTTGTCGATTGACTGTGGGTTACTCATGTCTCTCGGCTCACTTAAATGCGTTATCATCATTTTTTTTTTTTTTTTTTTTTTTTGGAAAAAGGGTCACGAGTCAGAATAGGATTCGCAAAAAAAAGGAGAGATTGTGAAATGCATTTCAAGGTTGAATGAGGCAACAAGAGTAGAATTTCGTGACTATATACACCAGGTGAAGAAG